TGTACATGTATATAATATATAATATAATATAATAAAACTTGCTTTAATTACCTCCTGTCAAAGACAATCGTTCATACAAACAGCCACTTTCCACACCCTCACACCCCTTGCGATTTAACTTTTTAAATAATTATAATGACAATGGCCAAGATAATCGCTTGTCTAAGATGACCTGTCCCTGTAGAATTATGCAAATTTAGATAGCCAAATTATGCCCAAAAAAAGCCAAATTATGCAAAAATTATGCAAGTTACCGTAACACCATTCGCGACATGTTTTGCACTTTTTCAACACGAATTTTCATGATTTTCATGTTTTATGTACAGAAAATTTTTTAACAAAACATTTCAGTATCACTAACTTGTTGTGTATTTGGTAAAAAAACCAATACACTTCAGTAAGAAAAAACCCCCCAAAAAATATCATCTCTGTAACTTTCAGCTGTAGATCTAGATCTAGATTCTATAGAGGTAAGAAAAATGTAATAAAAAAGATAAATAAAATATAAAAAAAGACACCTGGACCTCTGATGCTGGTACATTACTAAAACCAGGGACACCTGTCAAACATGAAATCTATCAAACATGAAACATCAGCAGACATGAGAACAACAACTTTTGATGGGTTGCAAAATTGAACATGCTCAAGGAACCCATAACCAAGATCTTCTGACAAGGGAAATAACCAGCTTTTCACTTAACTGAGACATATTACGGTGATCATTTCCCTTTAGTCACATGGCGAGGCGTTAATTAATTGTTTTGTGGGAAAAAAAGGTAAAAAACGTGAAAAACGGGAATCCAAAATTATGTAAATGTGGCAGAATTACGCGAAAAAACGCGGCCGCACAATCGCATAATCCTACGGGGCCAGGACGACCATTTTTCTCCTCAATAATGTAAGGAAGAAATTAATTAGACTATTACCGATAACTGTCAAGTGGATATTACTCCTATATAATTCAGTGACCGTAGAGAATTATCTATAGAAATCTTGGTGGATGGGTGGCAGGTGCTCTGTTGTGGTTTGCTTCTTCTTTTCTATCAAACACCTATCGTCCTTATCTCCCCTCCTTCTTTTTATGTTTTTATTACTCTCTTGTAACACCTCTATGCTTCGGCACTTATGTGACTTTTCTGAGTTGCAAGTGCCGTGAAACTCTTTCTAAAACATAACAAACCCTAGAAATCTTGTCAATTTGTCTCTCAAATGTCCCCCAGGGCTATGTGTGTACGTGACGTCATACAGCACAGATGCCTGGGTGTTGTGGTCCAATCAAATTTCAGATTTCCAAGATGGTCTCTTCAGAACTTGTTCCCGTCTAAAGGAGCCCGGCACAGGTTGGCATTGCCACACGATTCAAAACAGCACAGGTTTGTTTCATTTATTGATCTGGGTGGTTGGAAGTTTGGAAGGCGCCGTTTGTCGATTCAACATTTTTTTCTCCCCCCCCC